AACCTTTCCATTAAAAGATAATATGAACTTTTTGAAGACCCCGGGTAGTAGAAGCCCTAAATCTCTGAACAGGCTCCTACTCCTGGCAGTTCCCTGCTGCTGATTTTATGACATCTTTAATTCACCTCCTTCTCCCAAGGGCCCAAAATGAGGAAGCTGTAAAACTCTGGCCAAACACAACCATTTGCTCAGAGAAAAGCCAACATGGGGCCCATCTGTCCTTTACAAGGGCTCTGCTTGTCCTGCCTTTGTGTAGCTTGTCACTGTTTACACAGAGCAGCCCACCTCCCTCAAGCACCTGGCCACTGGCTGAGGCCTTGGCAGGGTTTTCAATATCTTCCTACAGAAAACTTTTTTTTTTGAAGCACCAAAGGGAAATACTGCAGGGACTGACGCCCTTCCCCAAGCTGACCTACAAGGCCTTCCTTCACGGCCACCGTTTGGTAACGACATCATCTTTTCACAGCCCACAGGACAAGGCCAGGGCCTAGCCAAAGGCCTTCCACATAGTAGGCCCTCAATAAACACCAAGGAAGTGAACTCTCTGACAGAAACCCCAAAGTAGTGAAGGGAGAAAAAAAAAACCCAGAAATCACTATCCAGAGCTGGACCCATTACCCACATTCTCGATCTTATGATAAGTGAGGGAACATATCGTGGCGTGCCTTCTACCACAAAAAGATTTCCATGGAATTCAAGAAGTCCCTTTAGCAGTTCTAACTGTAGGCAGAAACTTAGGAGAGAGGGTACCGGTGGCAAACAAAGGTGGGGGGCGGCGGGGAGGAACCAAACAAGGCCCCTATTCTGCTCAGCACAGGTGCTGGTAACAGGACACCCCTGTCTAAAGTGACACGTGGGGTGGAGGATTCAGGTGTGGTTGGGTGTTTTTTCACCTCAGTCACATTATATAACCCCGAACACACTCTCCTAACCTAGTACAAAGTTCTCTCTGCAGCAGGCCCAATTCAGCTCCTAAAGTGCTGATTCTTGAGTAACAAGGATAAGTAAAATATTTGATTTTGGCATCCAACTTGTTTTTTTTTTTTTTAACTAAGTTAATTATTAAAAGAAGAAAGGCATCCACAGGGTGAGCTGCCCTCAAGTTTGGCCAACAAAATTTCCTGGTTCTTAAAAACTCCCCAAACATCACCAAATTATACGCTGCTGGTTCAATTACTTATTACTTAAATGGCACAAATCTGCTGTTTGCAGCATTTCGCCAGTACTTCCCAGGATTTGGGTAGAAACTCCAAAAAGATTCCAGGGCCTCCTTAATGCAGCCAATATCATCCAAACATCAGAAGGCAGTCAGCACTCACTTGCAGACTACTGCTCCCCCAGACAAACCAGCTCTGGGCCTTTCCTTCCATCCACATGAATATCTTGTCTCCCCCTTCTTTGGGGACCAACTCACGCCAGACCAAGTCAGTGATTTACGTGGATGGTAGGAAAGACAGCCAGTAAGTGATTTTGCACACCACCATTCATTAGTGACCACCACCACAGCAGGGTGGAAGAACGGGAAAAAACACCCAGTTTCCTCTCATCAAGGAATCAGTAAGTTATTTAACAGCTGCTGCTTGCCTTACATGGTGCTAGATCCCAACAGAAGAAAAAGGATTACTTCTGCACCCGATCCCCTGAAAAGGATAAAACACACACGCTGACAGCCGAGGACTTGGATGAAGTATCTTTTGGAAGAAAGCACAAAGAATCCTCTCTAGCATTTCCGTGTCTTGAGGTTCTTTTAGAAGATGGTTGGTGCCTGGTCTTGAAATGACTCCATTTTTTTTGTTTGTTTTCTTTTTTTTCTTCAAAGAGGAAATTGACTCCCTTCCTGTGCTTCCATACATTTTGGAGAATTGAATGCTACTATTAAAACCATTTTCCTTATCCTTTTCTCACCCCAATCCAACATCACTTCTGAGAATACAACCTAAAAATGTTATCAAGACAGCATTCCAAATGGGTTCCCAACATTTACCCTTCTCCCTCAAAGTAAATAGAAAGGGAACCAAAGGCATGACAAACACATCATGGGAGCTTAAAGAAGAGAAAAAGGATAAGCAGGTCATTAGAAAGTCTGCTGATTTCAGATATTATAAACTAATTTTTTTTGCTGGCAACTTCATGCATCTGCATATTATACTCTGCTTATCCCATATGCCCAAATTTTACATTTTTTAAATTTCTTTTCAAAATGTCACTGCCATCTAATTCATGAAGAAGTCTTTTAAGAAGAAAACTCCATGAAAACATTCAGCAATTATCTTATGCATAAACTATCTTGGAAATCAGACACTCCCTCTTTTTCCGTATCTCTATGTCCCAAAAGTCTAAAATTCTGCAGAACCCAAGGCATGTTTTAGTCTTCCATTCCACCTTGCTTTTAAAATTTTTTACCACCAAAACAAAACAAACAAAAAACCATTCAAATAAATGCTCTCCCACAGGATGTTGAACAAACCTACTAAACTCAAAGGGAAAGAAGTCAGGATACACAAACTGTAGATTCAGCAGTGATTGGGCATTAAATAAGGAGTCTTTATTTTTAACTGGAACCTTGAGGAGAGGGGAAAACACTTTCAAACCACTCACAAATCCCCAGCCAGAGTGTAAGCCACGGGATAGCCCGTGGACAGCATGACATACCACGCTTTGGGCAGGGTTACCTTCCCAAGGGCTTTGGATTCAAACCAGTGAATGGGAAGTACCTAGCCTGGATTCTGGATTAAGGAACAAAGAGAGGAAAAAGTACAGATGTGATCACTCTGGGACTGCAGTGAGCAGACGGGTTAGATCACTGGGTTCCTTGTTATTACTGGGGTACTGGAAACATCCATGTATCTCCTCAAAAAAACACAAGCAGCTCTACCAATCCATCTCAAATTCCTTCCCTGGAGATCAGAATGCTCCTTTTGAGCCCCAGACCAAATCCTGTTTGACTATAAGGCGTGTAGAATTTAAGTGAACAATAAATACCAGAGTCCGAGGAGGAGGCACCAAGCTTTGTCTCAAGAGAACACTTCAATAATTTAATGTGGTTTGGGGGCAAAGGAATGAAAGGGGCTGTCTTTGAACAGGGAATAATCCATCTAATTGCAAGTGACTGGATTAGAGGCATTCCTGGGCAAGCAGGGTCAGGGCCGAATGTCAATTTCTGACAAAAGGCACGAGATCTGTGGAGGATTTAAAAATGGCCAAGACCAAGACAGAGGCACCTTGAAAAAGTTCACCCTGGGTGGGTGAGGTGGCAGTTGGTTCTAAAAGGGGGAAGCAGGCCGTGACAGCTGAGCATTCCTTCCCAAAGTCCGTATCCGAGGCACGACGCCTCTCCAAACCTTACACTTGATCAGACAAAAGCTCCTCCAGGCGCCCAGGCAGCGGCTGAAGAGGGGCTGTCCACACCCACTCGCTGCACAGCTTTCCAAACCTGCCCACTGGTTTTGGAAGCCGAGCTTCTCATTAAACACCACCTCCCCGGATCTGTTGAGGCAAACTGGGGCTGGGCTAGAGCCAAAGAGAAGCTCCCTAAATGCACAAGAAAAAATATTTCCCCCTAAATACACAAGAAAAAAAAAAAATTCTCCCACCGCCCCCAGTTCCCACCTCCAGCCAGCTCGTGCGGTTGGTTTTATTTCTTTGGATGAGTAACACAGGGTCCTGGTCTATCTCTATGCACCAGAAAATCCACGTCCGAGGATCAGGTTATCCCCAGTCCCACCCTTTGCAGGAAAAAGCCAGGAGAGTGTTCCCCGCCCCCAACGCACACGCGCGCACAATCTTCACAATCCTTCCAAGAGAAAACCAGAAGTGTGTTTGTGTTTGTGCGTGTGCGTGTGTTGGGGGGCGGGGGGATACAGTTGTGTAGGAGCCCCAATCTTGCCTTCAGGCCGGGAGCCTCAGCCCTGCAAGGCCGCCCTGGGAACTTCTGCTCCGCGCCCCCGGGGAGGACTGAGGGAAGGCGTGCACACCCTCACCAGTTTTCGAACAGCCTAATTAATAACTAATTTGCTCAGATTCCCTCACTCCAGGTAGACCTGACATCCAAGGAGGAAGAGGGAGGCTCCCTCCCAGTCTCCCAGGCCGGAGGACTCCTTCCTGTGGCCGGGCAGAGCCCCTATTCCCTCCCCGCCACCGCGCCAGGCACCCCCACCCCGTACCCGGGGGAATCAGGTGTCCGTCCAGCCATCCAGCCTCGGCGGGTCGCAGACACTCGGTCCAGGGACAGACAATGGAAAACTTGGGGCCGGGGCCCTGAGCCCCCAGGGGAACGAGACGGTGCCGCCCCCCGGGGCAATGAGTGGGGAGATGGCAGGGGACATCAGACACCCCCAGAGAAGCCATCCGAACCCAGCAGAGCCCAGAGCAGCGCCCCGGGTGAGCAGGTGCCACCCGGGCCGGGGAG